CATCCATGTAGCGCCCATGCACCAAGATAAAAATAAAAGAATAATAATATCTAACACTAGTGACTTTGAATATCAATTTAGGTGTCAGAATATGTAGGTCCTATTGAATGAATCACGATTCCATGTATTTAACTAAACTTCTAATTTAATATCACTAGTTTTACCACCTAAATTGATGTCAAACACAAGTAAAGTAATCATAAATTACACTACTCAAAATAAAAACATGCAAGGAGCTTATAGGATTCACTCCCTCGATCAAATTTTGAATGTACATAGCCCCTGTTTGACACCAATTTTAATCTCATTCTCATTCTCATTTTTTTTTCTCTTTCATTTCAACTACATATTCTTCAAATAAAATAATATTACACACAAATCTAAAAAAATTCATCACTTTTCCACCACATATTTTCTCATCAATCACTATTCCAAAAATTCTGTTCTCATTTTAAGGAGATTCAAACACACGCTATTTTTTTATTTATAATTATTTTTTTGCGTTAGACTTCAAATTCAATTATCTTTCCAATGGTATCATATGTGATTCAAATGGCCTGCCGGGGCATGAACACCAACTCCCTACTCTTAGGTACTTGATTCATCAACCCGAAAAGTAATGATTTATGAGAATGAATCCAAGAACGACAATATTTAGACACTCTTACTAGTAACACAGATTAAAAGTTATAAACGACAACATTACAAACCTAAAATACATATCTCGATATCAAAGATTGTTTAAGGACATGCACAAACTACTAGAAAATCTTCAAAACAACAACATTACAAACCCAAAATACATTTAATACATATCTCGATATCAAAGATTGTTTTAAGGACATGCAAAACTACTAGAAAATCTTCAAACTTAGTACTATATTTACATCCCTTTCCCCTAATAAAAACCATAGCTATAAAACCGGCCTGACCCGGACCAAATGGTCGAGCCTGGAAACCGGTGTCTCTGGCCCTTGCCCAGGCCAGGTATATTAATTTGATAGGAATGCACGTAATTCAATCAAAAATGGGCTTTGACCGATTTAACCGGTCCTTAAATATTATAACGGCATATCCGATTTACCTATTTTCAAAATTGTCTTTTAAAATTTGGAAGTCATTTCTTGGACCTCAAAGTAAAACAATTAGATCATCACCATTGTAGTAGTATAGTACTTTAATACCTTTTATGTGCAATAACTTATATGTATCCAATAAATCATAAATAGATTTTCTAAAAGTAATTTTATAAAAAAATTTACTCCAACATCTTACTTTACTTTATAGACCTAAATAAGTAGTGAAAAATAACTTAAAAAATATAATTTTGCATAAAAAAATTTTATACTTCAATTTTTTTATATAAATTTTTATGCAATGACCCATCAGTCATCCATGAGTTCAACCAATAACCCTAGACCCAGTACCTTGTCCGGGTCGATGTCCGGGTCAAGTCATAGTTATATGATAAAAACAAAGGAGCAAGGAAAAACGCTAAGAAGTAAAAAAGCTGGATAAAATTAAAAAAACTAGAAATCGAAATTAATAGCCATAGAAAAAACATAATGATCACCACCAAACTGTCAATGAATTTCGACTAAGTAACCGAAGATTAATTTATTACGAACCCAATGATAGTAATTAAATTCAGTATATATTTGGTAACTAGCAGTATTGTTCGAAATTGCTACTGTATTCAAGATTTAGAAGTTCCATGTAACTTTGATCCCAAGTAGTGTTGAAATCTTCACCACGAGAATAGTGAAAATCGTTCTCCACATGAAATTCCGGCCAATTCAGATTCTGTTTCTCATCAAGCAGGGTTGGCGCCGGAGTATCCCACGGGGTATACTCTCCATTAATATCTCTAAATATGCAAGCTTCATCCAGCACTGAATTTTCATTTTCATAATAATCCGGCACAGAAAAGTCACTGGGAGTTAAGTTACTTGCCGAAGGTGAAGAAAACTGGTGCCCATGATCGTCAGGCAAATTGAGTTTGGCGCAATTTCCATACAACCTTTTGGCTGCATCGTCATAAGCATGCGCCGCCTCCAGTGAAGTATTGAAGGTGCCGAGCCAGACCCTGGGGCCGCGATTCTTCTCCCGGATTTCGGCAACCCATTTGCCCCATGTCCTCTGCCTTACGCCTCTGTAAGTGCACAAGGCATTATCAGGGCCGCCTTTGCCTCTCGTGCACCCTTTCCTCGGACGCCCCACTGTGGATTTTTTCATGGCAGTTTTGACCTCTCCTTTTTGCTCCTTTCCGGTTCCAATTCGTAAACCCAGACGAACTATTTCTGCACTTTCCATGGTGTGTGGATTTTTCAACACAAGCAAATATCTATTGATTTGTTTGTAAGGCTTCCAAAGTGTCGGTGAATGTGTTTAGAAGACGAGTGGACAAGTGTGACATTGCCGATGTGAAAATGACATTTGGCACGTACTGTCAATCAGCCGCCTTTTCGTTCCTTAAGAAGTAAGATTCCATCTATGGTTAAATATTTTGGAACAAGGGATTTAAAAAAGTAGATTTTTTTATTTTATTTTTTTTAAGTGCAATGCACGATTTAAAATGAGTGGCAAAAAATAAATTTTAGATAATGGGACTAAAACATGAACTTAATTTCGTATGGAAATGCGCTTCGAAAAATTTGGATGAATTTTTGTACGAAAACAGATGACGTCTCGTAAATTCCACCAACGTTCTATAAACTTTCTGCAAGATGTCAATTGGTTCACTAATTTTCTTAATTTGTCGTGAAATCAAAACTAATCTTTCATGGAGTTGTGCTATGTGTACATAATTATTTATATAATAGTTTACTAATAAATTATGCGACAAGATTTTATTGGATCAAAATATCATCAATCAAATAACTTTTCCACATACATTTTGACACACCATCATTATGTAAATAGTTATGTACGAGAAGCATTTTCCTCTTCCATGTGATTATTGAGTGGCATGTCAATTCATTAGAATTAATCTATTTATATAATTTGGATGACATTGTTGTGTGTTGTCAAAAAACTAGTGGCCGTAAAAAATCAAATTGATGTGAAAACTGTCAAATGGGTGAGTGTCACGTGGCATATTGTAAACTATATTGTAAACCATGATTTTACACCAAGCTTAATTGAAGTAATTTAGTCATGTCACATCATAAAACTATAAAATCTAAATATATAGCCCATGTTTGACATTCATTTTATTTTTCATTTTTTTTCTCTTTCTCAATTTCAACCACATATTCTATCAATAAAATAATATTACACATAAATCCAAAAATTTTCCTTACTTTTTAACTACACATTCTTCAATCAATCACTATTTCAAAATCTATTCTTTCCCCCAAAATGGGTGTCAAACACAAGCATAGTGTTAAATATAAAAACACTGTCAAATTTTCATTTTATCATCTTTGTTTCTAGAATTCTACATACTTATTACGTATAAAATCATTTCAAATATAGCTTTCGGCTGACCAATTTATGTAAATTTGGACACCAAAATGCTTGGCTCTTGACATTGTGAATTGGCCAACAACTCAAAACAAGGAACAATAATGACGATGGAACACACTCAAAGACATGAAAAAAACTGATTTGATAATACATGTCTGGGTTTTTTTCTTCAACATGTCCAATCATATGTCGACGCGTGTCTCACTTGCTTTTGAGCCTGGTTGTGTAGCATGATTGGATAAGAAATTGTACACGGGGTTAATCTGTGTATGCGTCAACCTCTAGGGAGGCATGGGAAAACCCTCGGTCTACAAGTTATTTGAAAACGGGAGATATTGCATGGACTTAGGTTTTTGTCTCCGTGTAGTTGGGCAATAGAGGCTTGGAAATAAACATATGATTAATACTACGTTACCAAAAATAATATAAGAAGCAGTTATTTTAATAAAAAATATCATCGATTTAGTTGACGGTGAATCTATAAATCATGAATTTCAATACTTTTGATAATGAATTAAGAGATCCGCAACCACTTAAATCGATAATGATCACCACTAAAGATTATTGAGAATAGCCTTACTACTCCAAATAAAATTTGGTGTGACAAAATTTGTTAGGTACAATTCAACGTTATATTTATTTGCTAATTATTGTGGATGAATGGAAAATTAAAGCATGAAGTGTGTATAGTTATAATTTGAAAAATAAAAAGTGAAAAATTAGAGGTCAGGAGATAGAAAAGAAAGAAACGTGAGTTTTTGAAAAAAATATGACCTACACTGTAGTTGGTCAATCGATTGATTTAGATTCTTTAAAATGAATTGTTAACCAACTCAAGCATGATAAAATTCAAGTCTTCGAGTTTTGAGTCAAACTATCTGATTCGACGTACGTTTAAAACGTATGACCTAGATAATGAAGATTCTGTGTTGATACGAGGAGCATTTACCTTAAATTACATAACTATTTTTCTATATTTTGTTTAATTTCTCTTGCAATGCAAACTCAAATGGGAATTGGCAAACTTGTTGGTCCAAATACAATGCATTTTATGTTTGTCTCAAAAGTGGAGGGTTGATGGATTTCCTCGTAAGAATCCGAAAAACATCAAAATTTTATTATTTTTCATTTAACTAAAATAATAATAATTTTTACCTTAAAATTTTCAAACGTGATAAATCCCCAAATACGTTCACGTGTTTATTCTAACTTGCCCATGCCACGTGGCCAACAGGGTTGGTTGCCAAATGGCAAACTATCCAAAAATGTTCGGATTGAAACATTCCATGACAATTTCACATCTATCTTTACATAGTTGTTTATAAACTAGAAAGCTAGAATTTCAAATCTAAATTTCCCTATAGATTATCCAACTTACAAATTGTTTAATGTCAGTCTCGCGGTTTTGACATGTTTCAATTTGATTTTCAACCTACGTTTTTATTTTAATTTGACCATTTCATCTTATCAAAATCAATGACCAAATTGAAACATGTCATAAGATGCAATTAGGAATGCATGATATAACTCATATGGATTCTAAGGTCTTGTATGGGAGGGATTAAAATCGAATTAAAATTGAAAATATAGCCGTTATTGTTGACTTTTATTAGACGAGTGGGACCCAATAACGGCCATATTTTCAATTTTAATTGGCTTTTAATCCCTCCCGAACGGGGCCTAAGCCTTAAAGAATTAGGCCTTGTATGAGAGAGATTAAAATCGGATTAAAATTAAAAATATAGTCATTATTGTTGACTTTTATTAGACGAGTGAGACCCAATAACGGCCATATTTTCAATTTTAATTGACTTTTAATCCCTCCCAAACGGGGCCTAAATCAGCATTGAATAATTAGTTTACTAAACAGATTGGAAAGGAACTACACAATGCAAATTTTGGGTTCTTAAAGTTTCTGTATTTTGCAAAAGATGCAGATTAAATGTTAAACAATTGTCAAGTCGGACGATCTAATATTCACGTGGGATTCACTTTTAATTTTAATCAAGATCAGGAACATATGGTCAAGAGCGATGAATTTATTATAAGTTCGTGAGCCAAAATCATTTTCAACTCTAGCTACATGGACACAATTGTTGCAAAATTTGATACGACAAATTTTGGTGTAACACAAATCATTTGACACATTGAAATTGTTTAAAATCTAAAGCAATTATAATGTTTTAATTATAAAATTAGAATATAGCATCCTAAAGTTTTTGAACTAAAATAATCAATTGATGTCAACAAATAAAAAATGGAAAAGTTCATAATTAAGAGTCAAGGGGTTAAGTATCACATATGTCAAAACTAGGAACAAATGTTTCAAATTTTAAAAATCAGATGCTAATTAAAATAATTATGATTTAATTAATTTATTATATATTTAATTAATTAAATATATTAAGGTCACAAACTTGTACAATTTGGTCACAAATTATAAATTTTATATGTCACAAATTATTTTACTTTCATAATTAAAAGAAGTTATAGTTCACAATTTGTTCATTGGTAACAAATAAAAAATTTATACGTCACAATTTATTTATCGGTTACAAATCACAAATATTATAAGTCACAAAATTTCAATTCGAAATTTTATATGTTACAAATTATCTTATGATCACAATTCAAAAAATTTATAGGCCAGAATTTGTTTATCGATCACAAATAAAAAATTTATACGCCACAATTTATTTATTAGTCACAAATCAGAAATATTATAAGTCACAACTTATGAAATGATCACAAATTAACAATTTTTTAAGTCACATTATTTTTTTGTCACAATTTATCTTTTTCATTGCTTACATATTGTTTATTGGTCGCAAATTAACCAATTTAATAGTCACAATCAATCAAATAATTTGTGACCACGACCAACAATTGTGACCACCACCTCACCACTCCCTTCAGCAGCATCATTGCCGCTAGAACCACCACCACCACCACCACCACCACCTCTCGACAGTAACACCATCTCAAACAAATCAATACATCGCAGAAAAACATCAACACATCATCATGCCAGATCCACACCACCTTGAGAGACCCATCGCCACCAACATCTCACCATCACCTCAACTACCACCACCATAATCAAGGTTATCAGTCACCATCAGCATCACCCAACCACTACCAAAAAATTAAATCTAAAATTATCAGTCGCACAGCACCGCACCCAACCATTGCACACCACTACCACACCCTAAGCAGATTCACCACCGTAACTCCTCATCAACGCCACGACGAAGATATGAAAACCACCGCAAGTAGATTTGATCAGAGCCGGAGTTGAAGTCGCCACCACTGAAAACCACAGCAACATGAAAACCACCCGCTGTTCTCATATCTTTGAACATGGGATGACGCCGCCGCCACCTCTCGTATCCCTGTGGTGTCATGCTGTAGTCGCCGCCACCGTGGCGTTGCCTCCGACCGTGGTTCGATATTTTAAAGGAAAAAAAGAGAAGGGATAGAGATGTAGAGAGAGAAAGGATAGAGGAAAAAAAATTAGGGTTTGGGTTGATAGAGTTAGGGTTGGTATATAGATTAATTTAGTTTTAAAATATTGTTATTAACATTCAAATGTTTAATTATGATCCGATTTTTGTAAAAATAAACTTTAAATCTGAGTTTTGAAATGTTAACTTAAAAATCTGGTTTCACGTCATTTTTACATAAAAAAATGAGGTATCTTATAAATCGTTGGGCTACTGAGGTCCAATTGTTTATCATAACCTTAGTTGGGCCATGTAGAATGGACCTACAAAGCCCATCACCATGTCATTCCAAATCCACCAACACCATATTTAGTGCATGCTTGATACTATTTAATTTATTTT